ATTTTAAATTATTTTTAATTGATAAAATTATAATAACACCTTGGTAAAAATGTTTAGTTTAAAATATTAGATTTGCACCATTACGACAATAACCTCTTCTGGTGGTTGCCAATGCTATACAGCAATTAACAGCGGCAACGCGGCAATTTATTATCCATGGGCGAGTTTTCTTCTTAACCTGAATTAACGGCTGTTCCTTTCCATTTTCATTATTGGTGCAGCAGTGGTCCCAGTGGCATCCGTCAACGTAAGTATCCCACAAATCTTTGATCATCTCCAAAACCATTTCGTTTTTATCGAAAATAAATTCAATTTAGGAAGCTATATGTATTAATTCTGGCATTTATTTCATTCATTTTTTCATAACTTTGAAATTAAGGTCCAAATATCTCTGCGAAAGTTTAAGGTGTTTGGACAGCTAAACATGTTTTATTAGGAAAAACATTGTCCTCTTATTCTAGATCCCTTGCTTAATGTGGTATGTTTAATTTTAGGTGAATCATCACCCTAATTTACGTCACGATGTCGGGAGGTGTGGACGTTCTAGCCCTTAAAGGTAAGTAACCATAACCAGTAACTTCCACGTGCATTTGCAATGTTTCTGGCCTATTTTAACCAATTCTCCTTCTGATTAGTTCGTTTTACACTTTACTGGTTTACTATTAAATTTAATTACAAGAAGATAGAAAATTCCACATTTAATGTTTAAACACGTGCTGATTTTGAACGGTCATTTTGGGCACCAAACTATCGAAAACGAAAATATGTTCTTTCCCTCAAGCAAATTCGCGTTGAGTAGGCTTCAACATTGATCACTTTAAAAGAAATTTCATGAAAAATCAATTAGCATGCTATTAAATAAATAAATGTACGTGATTTATTAGTTTACTCGCCTTACAGAAAAGCCCTGTAGCTACAGCTTTTCTAAGTTGAGTTTGCCATTATAGTTTCCTTAATTAATTGTGTATGCCAAGAAAAGAAAATGAAGTACTTTCAGTTTTAGTTTGTCTACGAGGGCGTGCATGTTAATACTCCTTAACAATTATTTTGTCTTATAGAGGAAGATGTTACCAAAATGTTGGCGGCAAGTGCCCATTTGGGCACTACCAACGTAGACTACCAGATGGAACAATACGTTTACAAACGACGATCTGACGGTGTTCACATTTTGAATCTACGGAAACTTTGGGAAAAGCTCCTCTTGGCGGCTAGGGCTATCGTGGCTATCGAGCATCCTGCTGAAGTAAGAAAATCCGTTGTTTTTGCATTAATTTCTTGTTTTAGCAAGGGCGAAATATGTTATGGCAAAGTCTATAAATATTTTTGAATGTAAACATCTTTAAAAAAGCTACTAATTCAAATCATATATTCTTTAGTTCAGAAAACTCAGCTCATGAACTACGTGTTGCCTTTCTAGAACCCCTGATGACCGCAAGGTCGAAAGCAGCTCGTCCCATTTATTCACTTAGAAATACAAAACAAACTGCATTCTTGAAACCCATAAATACCCATTGGCTAGTATAATCTGGTTAGTCTAAACATATTTTCTTATTGCTTAACTATTTCGTTAAAAAAAATAGCTTAATGCATATCTTATGTTTCGTAATTGCTTCCAGGTCTTCGTCATTTCCAACAGGCCTTACGGTCAACGAGCAGTACTTAAATTCGCCGCTCACACTGGAGCAACACCCATTGCCGGAAGATTTACCCCGGGTATGTGTATTTGAATCCCGCAGCTATGCAACTGCTTGGCAAGAGTAAATAAATATGATGATAACTTTAGAACTAAGGAACCTATGAACCTATTGATTTAAAACTTATTCTGATATTAACCCATTAATTTCATGAAATTTAGCTCTGTAGATAATTGTTCTTAAATTTTTATTGGTGTGTTTCAGGTGCCTTTACCAATCAGATCCAAGCTGCTTTCCGCGAGCCCCGTCTGTTGATCGTCACTGATCCCGCGTTTGATCATCAACCCGTTACCGAAGCATCTTACGTAAATATCCCCGTAATTGCTTTGTGTAATACGGACAGTCATTTACGGTTCGTTGATATCGCCATCCCTTGCAACAACAAGGCTCCGAACAGCATTGGATTGATCTGGTGGTTATTGGCTCGTGAGGTATGTAATAGTGTCAACGTTTTCGATACGTTTTAGATCAAATCGCAATAATGATGAAAAATATCATACGTTCCTATCTAAATGATATAAGCCATGATATTTATAATTTTTCCACCTGAATTTTGAAAAGCAGTCAATTTCATTATTTCAAATTTAATAAGGTCTAATCGAACGTTTGTTGTTCAGGTTTTGCGCCTTAGGGGTCTTATCCCGAGAGAAACCAAATGGGATGTGGTAGTTGATTTATTCTTCTACCGCGACCCTGAAGAGGCCGAAAAAGAAGAACAAGCTGCCAAGGAAGTTGCTGTTGCTAAGGCGGTGGTCGAGGTAAGTTCAATTAATGTACTTCGGAGCATTATCTGGGACTGACAGTGGTTTCAAGAATCTTATTCCAGTAGATCGAATCTCTGGGTAACAACGCGACGCTGAGTTATCCTGTTCAAGCCGAAAAAATTGAAAATATTGTGCATTCCTTTTTCATAGGTTCCTCATGAAGCACCAGACCTAGATTGGAGTGCTCCAGCCGAACAAGATTGGGGAGAACCCGCTGCAGTTGTACCGGGTGCAACACCCGCGGTGAGTGTGCCAGTAGAGGCAGCTCCTTTCTCGGTGCCACCAGCTACCGAGGATTGGGCTACTGAGGTGGCTCAAGAACAGTGGAGCGCTGGACAGCCACAAGTTGTTCCTGCTGCGCCCACCCCCAACTGGGGGGCATCGTCCGGCTGGGATTAAAACAGTGTTCAGTACCATATGTCGCATTTGGACTGTCGAAATAAACTTCGCATTTGCTTATCTTATCATATAAGAAGTAAGTGCGGTGTTTTTTTTCGTTTCAAAGAATAAAATAATCAATATGAAAGTTGTTTATTTTTGCCCTATATTTCATTTTCCGGGTGGCTAAACTCTCGTAACAAGATGAAACGAGAAAGAACGTTGTGTTTGTACCCTTTGTATTCACATTGAGTAATGCAACCCCCCCTTTTTCGTTGTGAATGAAATATTTTTGGGTTCTACTTTAGGGCAGTAAATTGTGAACATTTTTAAATATTCAAGAGTTCCCGAGGCTATAGATGGCTATAGCACAGCTTATATACATATAATGATATTTAAGCTATGGCTATGGTCCCTGGTTGCTCCTTGGGTAATACGCCACTAGGATTACACATAAATACAATAAAAAATTGAACTTTTCAACACAAAACGAACGCGGCGTGAAAGCTAGAATTGTTTTGTGCCTTTATTGTTAGCTGCTTGTTTACTATAAATTGTCTTGACCGATCAGCAGTTTTCAAACTTTGTTGGTGACGGAGCCCTAAACCCTAACTAAGCTAAAAGCAAAACGAGTTATACATATGTGTATTGTTTATTAATAATCAACAAAAAAAAAGTTTTTTGGGATGAAATAAAAATTGGTAGGCAGCCATAATCGGCTGCTGCAAGTCTAAATATCATCATATCATATCATAGCTTTTTCATATGGAAAGACCCTATTTTCATATCATATTTGTATTAATATCAGCATTAAATGTTGAGTTTAACAGTTCGGAGGTGTTCTATGGTTTAACACGTCCATTTGTCAACACTTGTCTGTCATGGTTTTTGACATATGTCACATTTATTGTAAAAAACAGGGATGCATCAGAGGTTTATTTGAAAAATCATAACCCTTGAACCGTTCCTAATTTTTTATTCAATTTTCAAAGGTTTGGACGATATTTTGCAATGATTCTGACACTTTTGATATTCGTGCGTCTGCTACGGTGTTTCAAAGTTGACAATAAAAAAATGCCTACCACAGAAGACCTCCCATGATGGTTGCCTAAAAAATTTAATATTAATAAAATTCTTTTTTTTAACGATGGGGCTACGTGAACCTTCCTGTATTATTATGTACCCGTAAAGTCCGTAGTAGATTTTTAGTAGAAGTAGGCGTGTTTTCTTCGGTAGTTTTTTTTATAGATTCCTCTTTAATACATGTATTAATTTTATTGTCGGCGGAGCCCTAGGCCTAGGTCGTAGGCTTTGCGGAGCACCGGAGTTCCGCGGAACACACTGCGTAACGCTGAGCTAGATAAAACGCTGGAATTCGTGGGTTATCGGTCTTTGCGAAAGGCGAACGAAAAAATAAACCGATATTCCGAACTTTTCATTAAATTTATTATATTTATCAAAGCAAGGCTGTTGGATAATAGTACGCAATGGAGAAGAAATAACGTGTGTTTATTTGAGTTTTGAAAAATGTGTGACGGAATGAAAGGAAATTATTAGAAAAAGGATTAGAAAAAAACCGATTATAATAAATGTAATTGTACATACATCAGTTTCTATGTGTAGCGTTGTTGCTAGTTTAAGCCTTGGCATATATTTGGGTCTGTATACTCCAAATATATGCCAAGGCTTAAAGTAGTGTGTAGTGTTAACTTAGTAAGCTGCCCATACTAGCAGATAGCCAGTATGGAGAGAATGTGTTGTAAAGGCATACGGATGCCAGAGCTGAACCGTTCTTACAGAAGACCGCAAGTTTCAAAGGACAACTCCCGAAAACTTGAAGTCAAAAACGGGGGTTTTTTAGTTGGTAGAAATCCAACTAAAATTAGTGTCTTCGAGAAGATTTTTATATTCCAACCGCCGCCGGGCAAGCAAAAAAAAAACAGGGAGTCAGTGAAGTGACAGCAGCGACTGGGTGCAGAAGAGGTTGAACCCCGCGAGTCGGAAGACCGAGTTTTCCGTTTGTTATTGTTATTGTTTGTAAAGTTGACGGTAATTTTGAAGTTAGTTTGTTCCTGTTCCGCATTTAAAGTTATACCGAGCTGAATAAAAGTTGGAAGCCGAAGAAAGAGAGTTTGATACCCGGCCATCCACGGTACAATGTACAGGGTGATTCAAAATTGGCGTCATTCATCTGGAGGTGTTGTCTGGTGCTGTTATAGGAGTACAGAAAAAATAGTAAAAGAAATTAATTGTTATTAAAAACTGAGAAATTTGCAAAAAACTATATCAGAAATACGGCAGCAATGTTTTTCAAGGTAATCTGCCTAATTAAAATTGCGCAAATACCTGTTGCTTCGTAATTATTTAAAACTCGGGTAACCATGGAATTATACAGACTGACAATAAGATAGACAAGGATAAACGGTAAATTCAACAAGATTTGTTGACGAAATATCAACCTGTTCTCATAACGTCGAATATAGGTGTTTAAAAATAAACCATACAACACCAAACATTTGAATGGTTAACTCCAAACAAGCTAGTGCCTGTGTAATCTCCTTATTATCTACTCTCATTAAGCAGCTTCTCGTATAGCTCAGTTAATTAACTCCTGCTCCATTTGTATCTCCTTGTGCTGTGTGTATCGTACAAACGTGGTAGGAATGTAGCCGGTATTATTTGGTGCCTGGGAAAGTGTAAGTGGATAATAAAGAGATTTACAGGCACTAGCTTGTTTGGAATTAACCATTCAAATGTTTGGTGTTGTATGGATTATTTATGTAAACACCAAACCCCGCAGAATTCGAGGTTATGAGAACAGGTTGACATTTCGAAGTAGGTTCCGTGATTCAACGATTCCTGTTGAATTTACCGTTTATAATTGTCTATCTTATTGTCACTCTCTATTTATCCATGGTTACCGGAATTTTAAATAATTACGAAGCAACAGGTATTTGCGTAATGTTAATTAGGCAGATTACCTTGAAAAACATTGCTGCCGTATTTCGGATATAGTTTTTTCCAAATTTTTCAGTTTTTAATGACAATTAATTTCTTTTACTAGTTTTTCTGTACTCCTATAACACCGCCAGACAACACCCCCAGAGGAATGACGCCAATTTTGAATCACCCAGTATATATATTTTGTTTATATAAAAAACATTTAATAGACGTCTATTTAACTCCTACTTACCAGAAAACCAGTTAAAAACATTTTTTAATATAGACGGAGTCTGAACTGCTCGAACCAATCCGACGGTGCGTTTTTTAAATCGAATACCCTCTCTATAGGTACATGTATATTATGAATTTAATTAACAGACAAAAATTTTAAGTTTAAATTTACAGCATTTACCTGTGTACCAACATTTATGTGCGACTTTCTGTGCGTAAGAGCTTGGAAAAAATTAAAATCGATGTGATAAAATTCGTTCAGTCAATTTCCCTGCATGTAAACTCAAGTAAGATTTACTCATTTTGAAAAGGAGCAGAAACGATGGCAAAAATACTACGGAAATTCAACAAAAATTGACTGAAATTTCTAAAACACGAAATGTTCAGTTGATTGATTGCACTGCACTAGTTTATCAACCTGTTTTTCACCACCTTATTAATTAAGTCTGAAAATGATTGAAAATATCCACCATGGAATAAAATGTCACAAGAAGTATGGGATAAGAGGCTAGCATTATCATCAGTAATAAATCGCCCTGTAGGTATGTAATGGGCAAATGGGCGAAGAAAATTTTATTGCAAGAATCAATGAATAAACTTAAAGGTGACAACGACAACACAAGTGTTTTAACCTTCGATTCCCTCGACATCGACCATCAATACCACCGCGAAGATGCCGAGAATAATTTCTTCGGCAACTCGTACCAGTAGAACCGTAAGTAAGTACAGCCTGCGTACACTTAGTACTCTTAGTAGGACGGTCAGTCGAAATCGAGTCGTGATCAGAACAGGTAACGTCCTGTTAGTGCACGAAAAATTACGCGAAAAACGTGATTTTCAGCCTTAATGTGTTTGGTACTTTATTTTTAACGAACTGCCCATGGAAGTTTGTTAATTTTGCACTTTTAAGAACATCATTTTGGAATTCGTTCTTGGGGTAAGTGATCAATTTGATCAATTATTTTTGCACGTTTGGATTTTTTAATAATTTCTGATCGTCAGAGATGTTTAGCAGTTTTTCGCAACTGGGTACCTATTGGTCAGATCTTTGTTTTAATGAGTTAGTTTTTGAACTGTTTTGGTTTCAAAAAAGTAAAAGTCGTTTGAGTCTGTTACTTTATCAGTTTGTGAGAGTGTTTCAATACTAAAATAATACGGTGTGAATTAAAATATTTGATGGATTTTAATTACCCGGTAATTATTGATTTCTAAAATGTTTTTTAAATAATCTTGAATATTGTTTACAATCGGAATGTTTTGGTTTAAAATGGGTTTTTCCAGCATAATTAATAATTATCAGACACAGACACTAATGCAATATGAATATAGGATAGGGCGCGCTTGTGTATACTAAACTGCTTAAAAACAATGTAAAATTATATTACAAAATTTTATTCGGGGCAATTATACGTAAATTCGTTGTTATATCGAGATAATAATCAGGAAATAATGTGGAACTTATATATATTCTTCTAGAAAGTTATAAGTACTATATGGAATTCTTCTAAAAATACAGCATTTCTCAGGGGACAGGGGACAAGAAAGTGCTACGCGCAAAAGTAATTTCATCAGTAGGTAGAAAGAAAATCATGTTAAAGAAGAATCACATAAAAGTTATGAGAAAATTAAATATTTCTGTGTAATTAAAATCTAGTGTAGAGGCACTAACCAGTCATTTAGATAACAGGCTTCTTTAACTTTTAGCAAGTTTCAAGAAAAATTAAACATTTATAAATCGGCACAAAGGCACTAAATTGCGACGTTAGCCTGAAGAAATTATAGGTTCATTAATATTCATGTTGATTTTGGATAAGCTCCTGTATTGAGGTTTAATACATAGAAATATGAACGGAAAGACCGGGTTGGGTCGATAGATTAAACAAATTAAATTGGTGGATTAACGCACTTTCTGACTAATTTTGTTTGTTATCAAAAACATATTATTAAATGCTTACATATTTTACTTTCTGGGCGATTATGGTTGTCCTCCACCAGTGCAATCAACGTTCTAATCAATTGCATTACAAACACACCCATCGCCCATTGTCTTCGGCAATGGGGGAACCATAAAATATTGGAACATAGCCTTTCGGTTCTCATTCCCCATAATAAGTCGCCGGTTGCAGTTATTGCAGGAATTTAGTCCTGTTAGTTTACCGGCATGTAACACATGGGTTTAATAAAATAACTTCCAAGCTGATGCCTTTTCGTGATAATCTCTTTTATCTGCAATTGTAAATGGAATTTTATTGGATTGTTCAAGCTCTATTACCCGGAAAATGTTTTTAGTGCAGTTTGTCCTCGATGAAGTTTTATTTTTATTAACTTTGACCTAAAGAAGTGTTTCGCCGTTCGATTACAACTAATTGGGAATTCGCTGCAGGAGAGCAGACATTTGTGTTGGGCCGTTATTTCGTTGAATTTCTCGGAGTCGAAAAGGTGAGTTTCGTATATAGTTCGTAATAGGCTGCTGGTAAACTGGTTTAAGGCTTGAGAAATTCTTGAGCATATATTCCTGCCATCGACGATCAAGCATTCGGATACATGAAAAGCATGTCAATATACATTTTTTTTAAATTAGGGCTTAGAGTATGCTGCTAATATGAAATATGATGGTAAATATTGAATATGTACTTAAATTAGATGCTAATGACTTTTTGAATCATGAACAGAGGCATTCAAGATTTTATCGAAATCAATTTTATCAAAGTTTTCTGTCTTAATTTTTTTAGGTGTCTCATTTTTCTGTGTTTTGTTCAGTTTTTTGACTACTTAGAACCTGAAGTTTAGTCAATTTGGACTTTTATTGACGAGCATTTTTAATATTTTATTTTTGTGACAGAGTTTGTAATTTGTATCCTTTTTCCTGTTAAAATAAGTTTGAATTTACTCGGAATTAACTTTCTTTTCACATTGTGTAAAGACCATATTATTCCTTCATTTGTTCCGTAATTAATTTAAAAAAAAATGGATATTTGGTCGAAACGTCTCTGAATAATGGTTTTTGAGAAATCAGCTCTCAAAAAATTTAATGTTTAGTTACTTATCTATTACTACTTACTTTTTCAATACACTTGTTTTTCAGTCATTTTTTACCATTTAAAGTTCAATTCATTAATCAAAAGAAGCCAGAAGATAATTTAAAAATGACACTGTGAAGAAAACGATTGAACTGTTTTGGATAGTTGAGCAGAAAATGAGGAGAAAATAGAGTTTAAAACACTTGATAACCAGATAGATGGTTATGAGTACGAAGTCTACAAGAAAACTATTTTGGATTGTCAAAAACGCTGTTAGTATATTGTATAACTCTGTGAATGCGTAATAAAATAAATGAATTCGAAGTTAACGATTTATATGAAAAAACTAAATTTCGTTGCAACTTCACAAATGTTTCTATAAATTTCCATTAAGCTTTATTCATTTCTGAAGAAAATCCTTTGTACTTAAAAGCTGGCTCTTGGAAAGATTAACATTAACTAATTAATATTGCACAAAACTTAAAAAAATAGATGTAAACCACTTTTATAGAGGCCGATAGCAAACTCAAAACTCTTTATTGTGCCTAAAATCAAAAGTAAGAAAAATTGTGGACTGACCTGAAAATGTAGTTTTTTTTAGTAAAATAGAGCATAGACATTCAATTTAGCCGTGAGAATCTTCAGAAAATGCTTCGACTAGTAAATCGAACACATTCCAAACGGCAGTCAAAATGCACAAAATAGATTTTATTTTGCTTAAATATGTACCGTGATTATGTGCAAATAATTAAATATCCGGGATGGAAACCAAAATTTCGGTGATTTTTTAACACAAATTGAGGTATTAGTTTGCACTAATAGTAGATACTTATGCTGGCCGTAATAAACAAATTTGCCCAAAAACAAGTATAATGTTCGCAAACTTATCTTTAGACATAATTACTACCGACGTTTTTTTATTTTATTTCAATAACATTAACTCGAAGCAACATCTTTAATGTTTGATATTCTCTCATTTCGAAAATAAGACAGATAATGATTTTTTGCAATTGTTTTAAAACACTTGACCTTACATTTAGAAATGTTTTCCGGGCTTTGAAGCCGTGGTCTATCGGAATTTCTTCCTGACGTTTCGTCCGCAACTGCGGTGGACATTTTCAAAGGCGATGAGGCAGTGGGCGAAGTGATCTCCCGTGCTTTCCGACTAAGAATGATTCAACTGCTTATGAACATATTTATTATCAGCTAAGTTGCAGATTAGGACAAACGGAAAAATCAGCAGTAGCGGAGCACGCACTACTAGACGGCCACCAAATACGCTTCGACGAAGTTGACATTCTGCACCAATCTGAAAG